CCCCCCCCCCCCTGCAAGGGTTAAGTGCTTGTTTTCGTCTAGGTTAAAAAATTATATTCACCGGATCCGTGGAGCCCCTTTGCTCTTAGACCAGATCCCTCCGCCTCTCCCCCACCTCCGCTGCAGTGGCCTAAGGTCTCCGAATATCACATTCTATACATAGTGTATAGGACACGAGGACGTTGAGGGACATTTGATCACTGCTGCAGAAGAGGAGACAGGCTGGAGGGAGCGTATATCTTTTGGTATTTCTGAACCTAGGCAAATACAAGCATTTAACCCTCAGTGCTGGTTCACACCTGGGCTGATCGAAGCGCTGTAAAATGCTCAAGCAGTGGAATCCCATTAAAGGAGAACTATATGGGGTTAAGGCTTCTCCCCATAGTTCTCCTTAGGGTAACGGGAGGACACAAACTAGCGTCCCCCCGTCACCCTAGGCTCAGTATACCGCGAGCTGTAGCCGGTATACTGAGACGCTGAAGCGGATCCCGACAATTGTGCTGGGATCCGCCCAGCTGCGTGAGTACCCAAACTAGTAAAGGAGCTTCTTTTGGGGGCGTTTTTCCGTGCGTATCCATTAGGATACATTCTGATAGAATTCGTAAACCCGCGCTTTGTTGACCGCAAATCGCGGTCGAAACGCACGTCAAACGCGCATATTACGAACGCCCAAGTGTGAACCCAGCCTTACAGTGCGAGAGTAGCCCGACAGCAAGGGTCAGTACAAATGTTACCTGGAGTTTTTCATTAAGTTTCACCACTCCATTCGTCTATCGGAGCCCCCAGAACGACCTGGCTGGTGCGGTATGTGGGCCGTTGCCACGCCCAATCATTGAGACGGTGAATAACTGTGTGTATCTCCCCCACACAAGTGACACGATGCTTACTAAAGGTCTGGGCTCCCATGTCTGACAAATGGACAGAACGGCAGGGGAGAGTGGGAAGGGTAGGAATCAGTCGGTGGGGCGGTGGCAGGGGTTGAGCTATCAAGAGAACCTGTTTTTGCCCTAAATGGGCAAAGTAAAAAGAAATTCCTTTAAGGTGGCCGTAGACTTTTGGGGGGCAGTGGGATGTGCAGGCCAGATCCTAAGTCTGTCCTTTCTTTGGGTTTGCCCAGAAATGTGTACAGGTGAATGCTTTGGTGCCCATAGACGTGAGTTCGTCACTCTGAAATTGTCCAGGTGTGTGTGTAGAGAATTTCATGTCCTTTTCAGGGTTTTCGGGCCCGCTGGGAAATCTCTGCAGGAAATATCGGGACTGTAGACAAAGTTTCTCCATTGTATGATTGTATTGTTGGTGGTGCGGACAGTTTAGGAGAGATTCTGTATCGCAGAGTATTCTCAAACAATTCATCCCCACACAGCTCCCTCCTCGTGTATCACTTCCCCCTCCCTTTTTAGATTGTAAGCCCCCAGGGTCAGGGCCCCCCTTACCATCTTGTCTTGAATTGTATTGTGACTGTAATGTCTTCCTTATATTGTAAAGCGCTACGCAAACTGTTGGCGCTCTATAAACCCTGTATTATAATAAAAATGTATCTGCGTTTAGTAGATACGCCCCAGGTGCACCACGGCCCCATCTCCCTTGGGCCTGCGCCGGCGGATTTGGCTTTGCAGGGTGGAGATGGAAACATGTAGAGATATGACCTGTGTGAATAACACCCTGAGCACTTTCCACGCTTTCCCCTCCCTCTGCTGATTGGTGACTTATCCCTTTTTTTTTTTGTCTTTTCCAGCTGATTTTGGAGACTATGACCAGTATGAATCGCAGGATTTCCTGCAGCGATACGCTCTGTTTCCTGTGGTAAGAGCCGTCGCCCTTAACCCATCCGTGTGCCGTACAGAATAAGGAAAACCGCCATGCCCCGGCCTTGTTTGTTTTGTTTCCACTGTATTGCACCGCAACGGGCTCTCCGTCTGCCCTGCGGACTGTACAGATCGCCGTCCTATAGACGGGTTACTTGTTAAGCCGCCAAGAGCAAACAGCGCTGCCTGGCGAGATAAGGGAAAGGCAAACAAAGCCGATCTGTTGGGAAAATCCCAAACTAAATAAATCCGATCAATAAAATTAACATAAAGATGAGAATTCCTCTCCGCTGTCTATAGAGGAGACAGCCGACTTATTCCCAGGCGCAGACCCGAGGGGCGGAATCTCTGCCTGTATATGTCTGTGGCCATTGACTAAGTAAAGGAAAGAGCAGTTATTTGGGGCACAATACCCCTTTTTTGGGGAACTATTCAATATCAATGCGTTCTCGTACTCCTTAGTTGTTTAATCTGAAATTTGAAAAGATTTATTTAAAGCCAAACTGAACTTTTAGTTTCATGCCTCGTTCACACCAAGCGCATTCCAGGAGCAGTTACAGACCGGATCAAAACTGCGTCCAATGCATTCCAATGGTATTTTGGGGTGTAGTTCACACCGCAGCGTTCAGTTCCAGAGCAGGTTAAAAAAAAAACTGCAGCAAGCCCTATTTTACCTGCTCTGGAGCGCATGCAAACGCATAAAAAATGCATGCGAGCGCTCTGGAACTCAATGAAAGCCCATTTTAAACTTTTTTAAAAAAATGCCCGGAACGCAGCAAAAACGCGACAAAAAACGCAGCACAACCCACTGCACTGCGTGTGCAGAAACTCATGCAGATCTGGTCTGCATTTGGTGTGAACAAGCCCTTAATCAGCTAATCCCGTTCCTCATCAAAACCAAAGCTATGCAAAGAATTACATTTGGGTTTCTTTAAAAAAAAAATAGCCACGGCCTGAGTAAAAATCGTCCCTCGCCAACGTGCTGCATTGTGGAAGCAGTGGTCTCACTGCAGAGGTCTGACATGTCCTCTGCTTAGTCAGAGCTAGAGCTCTCTGATCAGCAAAGCTCATGTTCCCCACTGACTGGAATACAAATGAGTTTAAAATATTAATGATTACAAAATAGAAATAAAAAGAAAATCAGCAGAATAGTAATAGCCATGGGCAAGAAGGAGTTAATTAGGGTGAACAAAGGTTAATAACGGGGTAAATAGGAAAAAAATAATAATTTATTTTTTAATTGCCAGGTTTCTT